TATATGTTTTTAGCCGGTTATGTCCCTCTGGGGTCTGATATTTTAAATTTTATATATATTTGTATTGGGTTTTTTGGTAAGCCGCCTTGAATATTTTAAATAGAAAGGCGTGGTAAAAATATTTAAATAAATAAACAAACAAACAAACAAAAACACTGCAGAATCCTGTGGCTGAACCACCAGGACCCACCATCTTAAATTACCTTCTCTTAAAAGGGAAGCCAGTCACCCACATCCAAGCCTTGTCCCAATTTAAACCACATGAGAAAAGGCATTTTAAAATCAAGACAGCTTTTAGGACTGCATGAAATGCTGGAAGAGACTCACCCTGCTGAGACTCACTCAGGGGAGGCATAAGGATCTCATGCAAAAAGGGGTTTTTGTGCAAAAAGGAACCATCCACACTGCTTGTTTTTGCACTAAAACCCCTTGCGCAAAAACGGATCGGAAACGAGAAAATGCTAATCCACGCTTCATTTGCATTGCCTCTTCTGGCAAAGTGTGTACTGTAGACATAGCCACAGAGTGTTACCAAAATTAATGAGGTACTACAACATATCCATTTCCAGTACAAATACTGAAGGGGAGCATAGCTCCACCAAGAAACTTATAAAGACTAATGTTTAGCTTTCACTGAACTGTAACTGTCTGTCTGACCCTACAAATCACAAAAGATGTTCTTCTTAAACAGATGGTTCACAATTCCTGCATATCCATAAGTATATTTTACTACCTGAGAGTCTACTTATTGCTCAAAGGAGTTTCCTATTTCTTTTAAATCTGCAATTGATCAGAAGGTTCTCTTACTTTTTGTCTGGAAATGGGTGACAGTAGAGGGATCACATGATGATCACCTGTTGTGTTCCCTCCCTCTGGGGCATCTGGTATTGGCCACTGTTGGAAGGCAGGATACTGGGCTAGATGGACCTTTGGTCTGACCCAGTATGGCCGTTCGTATGTTCTTACTCTGACAAATACCATCTTGGTACTATTCCTCGAGACACCAGAGAGAATATGAATATTCCAATATGCATCTGACCTACCCTGCTCAAAATCTCTATAGGTTCATCCAAGTTCTCACAGGTAAACTTGGATCTTCAAGTAGTTGAATGAAGTATTTCCAATGTTTCTTATTCTCTAAGGGTATGTCTACACTGCCACCCTAGTTCGAACTAGGGTGGCTAATGTAGTCATTCGAACTTGCAAATGAAGCCCGGGATTAAAATATCCCGGGCTTTATTTGCATGCTCACGGGCGCCGCCATTTTTAAATGCCCGGTAGTTCGAACTCCCTGCCCGTGGCTACGCGCGGCACGGGCTAGGTAGTTCGAATTAAAGCTCCTAATTCGAACTACCGTTACTCCTCCTGCAATGAGGAGTAACGGTAGTCCGAATTAGGGGCTTTAGTTTGAACTACCTAGCCCT